GGCCTGAGCCACCAGGCTTTACAAGACATTTTGAGATAAGAAGATAAAAGTAGAAATGAAATGGGTTACCTTCCACGTTTTCCAGCTTGGCCAGGGTCAGTCCTATGGCGTTGGGACGATGAGGGCTCCTTGTGGAAAACACACCAGTCTTTGCACCATTCAGCCTAGGGGGCTGCACTTTTGCCTTATAGCTCAAATGACCATTTTTGTGAAAAACAAACAAAATCCTATTGAAAATAAACCAAACCACTGAGTAAAATATGAGCATACTGATTGGGGGGGGGAATGTAACCCCCTCATACAAATTAACAAAAAGAATGTTTAATCAGTCAGGAGAAAATAATACCACTTCTCTTCCTTGATGGAATAAAGTCATGGGTCTCTAGATCCTTTATACCTCACACAATGACTGGTGTACCGTAGGTCTATGACAGACATTTGTCACATGCCTGAATAAACAATAATTACTAAGTGCCTGCTATTTGCCAGGCAGCATTTTTATAGCCATTTCACGTAATAATCTTAACAATCATAAGACGTATAAATTATCCCTCATTTTAAGGGATGAGGAAATTGAAGCTCAGAAAAGTTGAATAACTTAACCAGATCTTCCTAAAAAAGACATAAAACCAAGAAGCCATGAATAAAAACAATAACAGATCTGAATTCATTAAATCATTAAATTTATTCATTACAAAATGTCATTCTAACAGAAAATGTTAGCTACATACAAAAGGTTCATTTCTGTGGGATATAAATTACTACTACATAAAAAAAAACACAAAGCAAAGGACGAACCAATAGCTAGGCACGGTGGCACACACTTGTGTGGCTCCGGACACTGAGGCAAGAGGATTGTGAGTTCAAAGCCAGCCTCAGCAAAAGCGAGGTGCTAAGTAACTCAGGGAGACCCTGAATATGAATAAAAATACAAAATAGGGCTGGGGATGGGGCTCTGTGGCCAAGTTTCCCTGAGTTCAATCCCCAGCACCAAAAAAGAAAAAGACAAACCAATAGAGGACACTTAGCAAAGAACAGAAACAGGCAATTCTAAATAGCTAAAAAACATATGAAAAGATGATGAGTCTCACTAAATAAAACAAAATACTGTTTCTCCTCTGTCAGGCAAAAATATAAAATACTGATAACATATTGTGCTGGGGAAGGTATAAGAAAAAGGTCATTTGCATAGACTGTTGAAGTGGAAGTGTAAGATTAATTTTAGAGAGCAATGTTGAAAGTAGCTCTCCAAAATCATAAATATGCACACCCTCTGGTCCAGTACATCTACGTTTGTTATCCTACTGATAAAAATGCACAAATACACAAGAAAATGTGTCCAAGGGGGTTTGTCACAGTACTACCATAACAGTCAAATGATCAAAACATGGTAGATCTGTATTTTGCAACAGACAATTTTAAAGCAAAAAAGGTATATCTGCATGTACTGCCATAACAGTTCTCCATGACATAGACTATTAAGTGAAGAAAACATATTCCATTTTTTAAATCAAACACCCACTCTGTGACTATCTATGCTTCTATGTGTATTAAAAAAGGAAAAAAGAATAGGTCTGGTAGGACTTACATAAAACTGTTAACAATAATAACCTCTGAAGAGTGTTGGGCGATAGGAGTAAGAAAGGAGAAAAATAGAAATGGTAAATAAAAATCTCTACATACTCCCGAATCTTTTATACCAACTATGTTTTCAACTTAGAAGATCATATAAACTATGTCAGGATACCACGTTTTTCTAATCTCCCCATGTCCCCAAATAAATATGAAAAATAACCTAGTTCAGAATAAAAAACTTCACATCTCCACCAGTAAAATGAGACCAATGTAGACTGATGATGTTGGGGTGAAGAAGAATGGACAGAGAAAGAATTCCAAATGATAGCAAATAGTATCTAGATTTCTAAGGCTTCCTGTTTATTGTTTTTGTTGTTGTTGTTGTTGTCTGTTTGGTGTCTTTGTTTTGTTTTTGTCTGTTGGTACTGGGGATTGAACCCAGGGGCATTTAACCACTGAGACACATCCTCAGCCCTTTTTTATACTTTATTTAGAGACAGGGTCTCTCTGAGCTGCTTAGTGCCTCACTAAGTTGCTGAGGCTGACTTTGAACTCGCAATCCTCCTGCCTTGGCCTCCTGAGCCACCGGAATTACAGTAGCACCACCATACCCAGTAGATTTCTTGTCTTTTCAGACAAGTACACTTAATTACTTCGTGAGTCTACATCAGGATTCATAATTTTTTTTTCTGTAAAATGTCAGATAGTAAATATTTTAGGTTTTGAAGCTAACCAGTCACTGTTGAAACTACACAAGGCTGCCACTACAACAGTGTTGCATAACAGTAGCTACACACTATATGCAAACAAACAGGCATGCTACAGTAAATAGCCACAGACAATATATAAACAGATAAGTAAGGCTATGGTCTCGCAAAGCTAACATATGAAAACAGGAGTGGACAATATTTGGTCCACAGGCTGTAGTATGCTGACTCTTGGTATGGGCAAAATCAAGGTCAAAGGTTTCAGCTTAACAGAAGGGATTCGTCACTATTAGAATCAGGGGCAAATGAAATAAACCCCCATAGTAGATTCCAAGCTTTTCTGAAGGTGTCCAAACCATGAAAACAATTACATGGACAAATGTGGTATCAACATTCCATGTAATAAATAAGAGTAGTCTGGCTGTCAGACTCCAAATTTGCCTTCAACTGGAGTAATTCACTCAGGGGCAAGTCTGACCCAAAGGACCATAAACTATAAAACAACTTACCAAACATGGGAAAACTGTTCTAGGCCCATCAAGGAATGTTCAGGATTATTAAAGATGCTCTTTCTAATCCTTAAACAGGCCCGAGAATGACTACAAATGGATGGTTGCCTTGGCGTGCCATTCTTGGCCAAGAAACAGGATTCCAAGTAGCCTATTGGCTCAGTTAATAGATTCCCTGCAGAAGAAAATTAGGTAAGAAATCATTAGTCAAAAGGTATAAGAAAACATGACTTCTCCAATGTCTCTAGTTCATAGTTTAAAAACCCCACCAGGTGTTATGCAAATTAAAACTTACTGGGTTTTGTTCTGTTTTGTTTTGTTTTTGTCTCACTATGTTGCCCAGGCTAGCCTGGAACTCCTGGGCTCCATCAATCCTCCTGCCTCAGCCCCCCAAGTAGCTGGGATATGGGCATATACCACATGCTCAGTCCATTCTGAATTTATATATACCCCCATCTCATGAAAGTCTTAGGTTTCTTGAAGAGATGATACAAAGACAATCTAGACCTCCATTTTATTTCCAGTTTCCATGAAGTCTATCCTATCGGCATCAGCAGTAAAACCATACAGATCTAGGACTATATCTCACAGTACCTTCTATTACTTCTCATTTATAAAAACCATATTATTTTATACATATAACATTATATACAACATATATGTAAATTAAAAAGCCTAATATTATAATGAAATCCTGTATACCTATATCCATCCCAAGAACTAATGCACTGCCAACAACTTCCATCTTTTTTTGTGGGGGGAATGTACTAGGGATTGAACTCAGGGGCATTCAACTACTGAGTCACATCCCCAGCCCTATTTTGTATTTTATTTAGAGATAGAGTCTCACTGAGTTGATAACACCTTGCCATTGCCAAGGCTGGCTTTGAACTTGCAATTCTCCTGCGTCAGCCTCCCAAGCCACTAGAATTACAGGCATATGCCACCATACCCGGACAACTTCCATCTTTTTAGACTTCTTTTTTTTTTTCCAATATTTATTTAGTTGTAGATGAACACACAGTATCTTTATTTATTTTGGTGCTAAGGATCAACCCAGTGCCTCACACATGCGAGGCAAGCGCTTTACCACTCAACCACAGCCCCAGCCCTAGACTGCTTTTAACCTATGCCATATCTTTCCTTTCCCTAAGATTAAAAAGGAACCTAAATTTGGTCTTCCACTTCCTATTCAAATATAATTTATGCCATGTGCAGTGGTGCCTGTAATCCCACTGACTTGGGAGGCTGAGGCAGGAGGATTACTAGCCAGCTCAAAGCCAGCTCAAACCCCAAGCAAATAAGTGAAAGCCTGCCTTAAAATTAAAAATAAAAAGGGGCTGGGGATGTAGCTCAGTGGCTAAATGTTCCTAGAGTCAATGCCTGGCACGTGCACGCACATGCACATATATACACACAAATAAAACTTGGTTAAAACTTATCAAACTGAAGTTATCCTCTCAGATTTGCTCCTAACGATACATACTGCATATGCATGTTATATGTGTGTTGCTAGGTATTCAATCCAGAAGTACTCTACCACTGAGCTATATCCCCAAATCTTTTTATTTTGAAACAGACAAGGCTGACCTCCACTTGCAATCATCTTGCCTCAGCCCCCATAGTAGCTAGAATTACAGAAATGCACCACCAAGTCCAGGGTAAACTCCATATTTCTTAGCCTGGTATTCAAAGTTCTCCCCAATCTGAAACCACTCTCCCTGCACCATTGGTCCATTTAACACTTTAAATTTTCAGTTTCCACACCCCAAGCTCTGAATCCCTGAGCCTTGGTTCTTGCTTG